GCCGTGGTTGTGTGGATTTTTCTCCGGGTCCTCCAGTTTTTCCCTCCACATTTTAGAATCAATGTGTTCAAAGTATTTGGCTGCTCTCAATTTCCACATGATAAGCCACTTCATTGAGTTACAAATTGTGGCCCGGTCGCTTTTGAAAAATAGCTATACAGCTCCGTGGGTGTTACCTGGTAAAATATTTTTTTAATAGTTTTATACCCATGTTTCTAAATGTGGAGGGAAAAACCGGAGGATCCAGAGAAAATTCCCACACGAGCACGGGAAGAACACGGATACTCCAAATAGAAATGTAACACGATGCCCAGCCGACCCATGTGATGGAGCTCGATTGGTCAGTGTGTCCACCGAGGGAACGAGCGTGCTGCTGATAACGCACGCACCTCCATTCGGCTTCCAATTCCCCTGGATTTTAATGGAGTGCGCAGTATGTTTTGCTGTTGTTCATAGGATAGGGCTTTAACCATTCTGAATATCGGGCAGAATACATTTTGTGCAACTTGTAGAGAGTTCCATAATTTGCCGAACGTGCGGTATGTAACTCTACAGGAATCAGGCCTTTTAAAATACATATTATTAATGTAAATATATCAGTGTAAAATTGTGTGTTACTCACTTGAAGTAGTTAAATTGCAGCTTGACAAAAGAGCCATTGGGAACTGTAATGTCCACAGTGCAGGACATATTTGTTGCGGAGCCCAGGTCAGAAAAGCTGTTTATTCTGCCAGAGTCGCCTTGCAAACTCAATGAACACTGATCAATGCCTGTCAAAAAGATTACAGTACATAGAGATGACATTGAGACATCACTCATTGAATGCAGACATCGATCTACAATACATATTTGTTAAATGCTCGGTATATACTGAACTTGACTGCCTATATAACGTACGATATGATGTATGGTATGCACATCAATACAGTAGATATTTCCCCCACAATTATATTCTGATTGTGCGATCAGCGTTACCTTATGGAGATTAATACATTTTAAAGTCTTCAATATTCAATAGCAGTCTGCAGAAGAAGCTGTCAGAGAACTACGTCTTCGACACACATCAGTTTTCGAAACTAGAGGGTGAAGCATTCCCCCACCTGCCCTAATAATAAAAAAATTCTCAAAGCCAACCCCGAGGGCAAAGTCAAATTGATTGTGATGGTTTTGGTGTTTGATCATCGGCGACTGGGCTGAGACCACCAACTCACTATACCTGGGAACCCGGTTCCATCATGGCCGGACGCCTGGATTCCCACTGAGGATCTCATCAGTGTCAGCTCAGGGCTCTGACTTCTGAGCCATGTGGTGGGCACTTTTCATAACCAGGCAGTTTTTTTACCACGTAATTCTTTTTAGCGAAATGCATTCATAATGATTCTACGGTCTGTTCTAGAACGCTGTAGTAGTTATACTCTTTGGTTTTTTCGGAAAAAGTCATGTAGGTAAAAAATAAATAAATGAAAAAACAACTAAATTAAATCACGACGTTTCGGAGGCAACACAAGCTTCCGTCTTCAGGTGGAACCGTTACAGCCAAATTCACTGTAATAAGTGAAGAGAGCTAATAGAGAAACACGACTATATAGGGTAAGAGGGGGGGGGGGTTGGGATTGCTGTTGAGGGGTCGGGAAGGGGCAAGTGCTTCGCTGAGTTAATATTTATTGATAACATTTATTCATTATGCGGGAGAGGGGGGGGTATTGGAGAACAAAGGGGGGCAGAAGTTGAGCTGATTAATAGGGACGCTAAGTTAGACTGATAGATAACATCTATTCATTATGCAGGAGAGGGGGGTTAATACGAAAGCTATTAGAAAATAAAAACAGCTAAATTAAATCACCAATACACTACACTGCTATACTCTACACTACACTGTACAATACACTGCACTACTATAGACTGCTATACATTACACTATTAAATAGTCCACCATACACTGCTATACACTACTATACACTACACTATTCTACGCTCTACTATTATACCCTACCCTATACACTGCTATAAACTACGCAATACACTATTATAAACTTTGCTACACAATAATGCACACTACATAATACACAAGCATACCCGAAACACTATTATAGACTCCTATCCACTATACTATAATACACTACACTATGCACTGGTATACACTCCACAATACACTACACTATATACTGTAGAATACACTACCCAATACACAGTACACTGCTATACACTACACTATACACTGGTATACACTACACAATATACTACCATACACTGAACTACTATACACCACAGAATACCGTATACTATAGACTACTATCCAAAACACTACTATACAATACACTATCCACTACACTATACGTATCAGTGAGGGAAAAAAGTATTTGATCCCCTGCTGATTTTGTACGTTTGCCCACTGACAAAGAAATGATCAGTCTATAATTTTAATGGTAGGTTTATTTGAACAGTGAGAGACAGAATAACAACAAAAAAATCCAGATAAACGCATGTCAAAAATGTTATAAATTGATTTGCATTTTAATGAGGGAAATAAGTTCCTGGGCTCCTGGGCATAATGCTCCTGGGCATAATGCTATGGGGGGGGGGGGGGGTGAGTATTGGGGCACTATTAAAACACTGTACATCACATTTTTGAGTGATGGTAGTGTATAAAGCTCGGAGTAAAATAATGGAATATGGATATGACTGTAAAACTATAAAGAAGTTTAAGTTTGACTTGGTTAATTACATCCTTCAAATGATTGCACAAGTTGAATCCATCCACTCGGTTGAAGTTATGTCTATGTTCGTATATCTGGATGGCTTCATGGACAAATCTTTGGTGGTATCCAGGAGGCTTGCAGAGCACCTTGGTATCGGAGAACACAATGTCAGAGAACCAGCAGTATTATAACTGTGATCAGCTACGGCCGAAGGATTCGTCCTGCCGTGTTTTAAATCCGACTTGTGCTCGCGAATGCGGTCAGAAATATGTTGTTTCGTTTCCCCGATATAGCAATCACCACAGGTGCAAGTCAGTTTGTAGACACTAGGGTACTGTAAGTCAGGAATGACATCCTTTACGGATGGGATCAGATCACGGATCTTGTGTACTGTACTGAATCGAACCTGGATTTTGTGTTTGTCGAGAATTTTAGAGATCTTTTTGGTAATGCCTGCTATGTATGGCAACGTAATGGTTTTGATCGGAGCCTTCAGAGGGTTGTTTCTCCATGTTGGGAGAAACAGCCTGGCGGATAGCACGGTCCGAGTATCCGTTCATCCTGAGGGGCAGATGTACATGTTCCAATTCATTGGCCAGGTGGTGTTGGTCAGAGATGCAGTGGGCCCTATGGTATAGTGTTTTGATGAGAGAATTATTTTGTGCCGGATGGTGGTGGGAATCAGGCTTCAGGTAGGAATCTGTGTGGATGGCCTTCCTGTATACAGAATGTCCCAAAGAGCCATTGGGCCTCCTCTCAAACAGAACATCCAGGAATTGTAGCTTGCCATCCTTCTACACTTCCATGGTGAATTTGATGGATCGGTGTATGGAGTTGATGTGGTCTAGAAATTGGTTCAATGACCAAAGTATCATCCACGTATCTCTTCCACAGGGAAGGACGCAGAGTGGATGTGTGGATGGTGTCTGTTTCAAATTTCTCCATGAAAACATTGGCTATCACTGGCGACAAGGGGGAACCCATAGGGGTGCCCTCATTTTGTTTGTAGAATGTGTCATTCCAGGTGAAGTACGTGTTGGTTAGGCAGTGCCTAACCAGCGCAGGGACATCAGGGTTCAGTCTATGTTGGATTAAGTCTTCAATTATTGTTATGGTGTCAGGCACTGGAACCTTGGTGACTAGAGAGACCACATCAAAGCTGACAAGGACATCATCAGGAGACAGTACAATGTCCTTGACTAGAGAGACCAAGTGAGTTGAGTTAAGTACTGCTGAGGTGGTCTTGCCCGTGAAGGGAAGTAGAGTATCTGACAGAAAACGGGCCAGTTTGTAGGTAGGTGAGTTGATCTTGGGAAGCCCATAGAGTCTGGGGGGTCTCGCCGCCGAGGGCTTCAGGGAGAGCCGTTTGATTGGTTCGATTATGGAAGTCGAACTGGTGATGATCTTGTTGGTTTTGGTAGTTAGGCTATTAGTCGGATCTCTATTGATTTCGGAGTAACTGCCATAATTGAGTAGGTTCTGAATTTTGTTGTTGTATGAGATTTTATACATGACAGTGGCATTGCCCTTGTCGTGGGTAGCATCTAGAATCATCCAGCAGCATCCCGCCTTGTGTGATGCTACGCCGAGGCAGCCATACGACCACTTATTCCTACTCACGTGACGTAGTTCTGTTCACTCAATAGCGTTATATCCAATTTGCGTTATGAAAACACGCGGCGTTATAGGAGAACTGACTACTGTACATCTCTCTCCCATCTCTTTCATAGCGTCCTTCTGAATAGATGCAAATTCTTTCCGTTACACGTCTTCTAAAACGTAGATATATTCTTTCATCTTACTTGACCGGTCTTATTTCATATTGATCGGGAGCTCTCACTCAAGGTGCTTAAAAAAGTAAAAAAAAAACGGTGAAAAAATAGATTCATTCAGATGGCAGGGGCGTGCAAGGATTGAGTATTGAGTGAGCATTATAGAGGGTGCTTCGGGGTCACGAAAGGGTAGTAGGTATGACATTTCTCTCTCTTGTCTAATTATTTTGCTAATCTTAATACTTTGCTAAAGCTGGTCTCTCTTCTATAATCTTAAATATCTCAATTTTTATTCTTTCATTTCACTACATCTCATTATTTTGTTGACGTCTACTCCTTTATCTCTACTGGCTATCTGTCTTCCCTTATCTCACTGCATTTCTCGCAATTTTCTCTCAATTCCCAAAAACGTATCGATCACTTACATGTCTCAAATCAACGTCCTCGGTGAACAGTGTAGGTGTAAAAATGTTAAACAGGTAAACAATGCGAGGACACACGGCAACTGAAACGCTGAAGTTGCACTTACTCTCATAATATGCACTGAACCCTGTGAATACGACGATGCTGTCAGACGTGAATGTGACGTATAAGTTGCTTCCAGATGAAGTCAGGGCTTGGGGCACAGTGACACCAGTAAATCTACCCAATTGGGGGTAATCTTTTGAAGGTCCATCGTACACCGTCACATAGTCATAATTTTGTTCAATTCTGGGAAAGAAACAGGTTAAGTTAACATTCGTGTTATTAGTAATACATATGCTGTATACCGTTTAAAATGTAGGCTTTCGCGACCAATATTATCTATAATAGGTTTTTTTGGGTTAGATCGCGTAAATATAAATGTGTCATTAATATAAATGTGTCACAAATCTGGCTGTCACCTGATGATGCAAGTTGTAATCAGTGGCGAAATGTCGTTCTCGAATTTTGCTGTACACGTGTAATAAGAGAGCGCCATCTACTGAATTATTGTTGGGTTTACATTACTTATCATGCAGTCCACGGTTTAGCCATAGTGGGGATTATATCCGGGGTAAAGGTGATTGGGCGGATCTACCAGGGAAGCCCCTGGAACGTTCCCGAAGGTTCCAGGAGGGGCGTGGCCAGAGGCGGGGCTCAGCCTCCGGGGAGCGAATATTAGCCGGGGGTACAGCAACGTTAGGGGTCGGTGCTTGAAGATCAAGAGGAGCTCCCGTCGCTGCTGCCCCGCCACCTCCACCTGCCACGTGGCGGCTCGACCTCCAGCCGCTCAGCCGCTCCCTAGCACGCCGCCAGCCAGCGGCGTGTTAGCGAGCGGGGTGAGCGCCACGTGGCGCGGGGCAGCTCAGCCACGAGAGCGAGTCGACATACGCGGAGAGAGAGAGGTGACTACCGAAGATTTTATAATAAAGCGCTTGAAGTTACTTACCGTGTCAGAGACACTCATTACACTAGTAAGGAACTGGCATGTTTCGTTAACGTGACAAACCTTAATAATTGACTGTTTCAGGCGGTGCCAGGTTTAACGACACCATTATATTTACGCGACCTAACCCAAAAAAACCTCTTATGGTTTATTGTATACAGTAGTCAATTATTTAGGTTTGCTCATTTACACTGCTTTTAAAGTATTAACAGCAGTGGTGGCCAATATGTGGATCGCTATTCATGGGTGGATCGAAGGACAAAGAACACACGTTAACTTAAGCAGATATAGTGGCATGTGCTGTATGTATTGAACTTATTTTGCACCGTACGTAGCCAAACGTGCTAATCAGTTTGCAATCAGCTTAAAAGATCAACACAGCTGAAGAGACCTAAAACAAAAAGTTAATAGGCAGCTCAGAGTAAGCTCTCTGACTCTAATTTTCTTTTAGATTTTTAAAACTTCTGGCCTCTTAAGATTGTTTAGCTTTTTCATAATATTTTCCCTTTACATACGTGTTCTTATTGTCATACGAATAGTTTAGTATTTTCCTCAAACCAACGCATCAATTTTCTTTCCGGCTTCTCACGCTTCCCCTCCCATCCCAACCATCTCCTTCCCTCCTCTCACACTCCTGCTTCCTCTGCCCTTCACCTTAGTGTCACCTTTGACTCCTTCCTCACTTTCTCTACCCACATCTCCGCTACTACTTAGCAATCTACCACTTTCGTCTGTTCAACAAAAGGACAATCGGCCCTCTCAACCTGCCACCAAACTCCTGGTTCATCCTCTTCAACCATCGGGACTCCTGCAGTTCTCTTCTTCTTGGTCTCCCTGCTTCTGCTCTCCCTCCCCTCCAACCAATTAAAAATGCTTCTGCATGAAGTTATTTTCACTGTGCTTTAATTCTCAGCACTTCGCTTCTCCTCCAACTCCGCTGGCTTCACGTCCACTACACCGCTGTCGATTCAAATACCTCACGCTCAGTCGTTATGTCTCCATGGCCTTGCTCTACCTCATCTCGCCTTCCTCATCTCCTTATGCGTCCTCTCTAGTCCTCTTCATTACAAATCTGCTCTCCGTCTCTCTGTTCCTCTTCCCTGTGCCCAATTCCCGTCTTCGGTCCTTCTAACCTTCTTGCAACCCTCCACAGGAATAAACTACCCTTGTACATTGACAAGTACTGCCCATAGACTCAACACTGCACCAAAGACTCAGCACGCCCATAGACTCAACGCTGCCCATAGACTCGACACTGCCCATAGATTCGACACCAAAGATTGGATACTGCCTGTAGACTCGACACGGCCCATGGACTCGACACTGCCTCTACATTATGGAGCCCCCCTCAGTACCATCCTTCCATTCCTCTCCTAAAGCCTCACCTCTTCTCTGTTGTCTTTTCCCTCCCCTCGCCCCTCCGCTCCTTCCTGTCCCTTCCATATCCTTTCGTGAACCCTAAGTACCCCTCTATCGCTGGGACTCATTCCTCAATCCTTGAAGCACGCGCCTGCCAACTAGAGGGACTCCTCTACTTACAAAAGAGTTAAGTTTCAGAAGTCTGTTCGCAAGTCTATTTGTTCGTAAGTCCAACTTTACTTGTCGATCCAAAAGATGTTGTACGGCATGTACACTAAACACAGGGAATGGCCTTAAAAGTTGTAGATTCTCTTCTAGATGTAGACAACACTGGTTCTTCATGTTCTGCAGATGTAGATGCCACCACCGTTATCTATTGCGCAGTGGTTGAACTTATAACTATCGGTCCAAATAGGTAACTGGACATACGGACAGGTTTGTTAGTATCTCTGTAAGTTCTTGAGTCGAATGTTTGTAAATAGAGGAGTCCCTGTACTTCATTTCTTTCTGTTATCGTTGTGTAAGCTATGTCAAGCGCATTGAGTGAAAGCGCTCTATAAATTCTAGATTTGAAGCTTTCGTGACTGCAAGGATTCATATTCTTAGTTTTTTTCCGGTAAAGTCACGTAGGTAAAACATCAAAATTAATAAAAATAAAATAAAACAATATACATACATTAGATTAGAATGTGTCATGTGCCTTGAAGCTTGCAGCATGAAAGCCACTATAAATAATGATTGTTATTATTTCCTACCAATTATTTTCCAGTTGTATAATCAGTGTCGTATCATCAAGCGAACACACATTGCTGTTGGACATCTCACAGTGAGAATAACAGGACTCTTGTGTCAAAGAACGGCCCCGGAAGATATCATCACAGAACTACTTCTGCAGTTACTGAAATATGCCTCTTCAGCCACAATAAGGTCACAACTCAAACATGGTTGGAATTAGCGCTGGATTATAACGACACATAACATACAGGGGTTGTGTTTAAATGTAAGTTAATGACCCGTGTAAAATTAATGACAAAAGTCGTGTGCCAACAACACCTTACCTGAAGTCTGTAAACGAGAGCCTGATTTGTTTGTTTGCTGGAGAGTGGATCAGCCAAGTACAGTTTTCATAGTTGTCATAGACATTTGGGTAGTTTGGTGATGATATGACTCCACTGGTCTCATTTAATTGTTTTCTACAAATAGATGCTGAAAAAAACAAAAATCTTTAACGGCAAGCCTAATAGAGCACATTCAGTTGTCTAACCATACAATACATATGAGTGTGTACAGTATAAATATACCATAAGCAGGCAGTATTTAAATACAAATTAGATATTTTCTAGATAAAATAATAAAAAAACCTCTCATTTGTAAAAGACTTGAGTGCGATTGTCAAGTATATCATCACAGATAAGTGAAGATGTATTGTATTATAGTTCTCTTGTCTATATTTGGTTGAGAAAAATCGAGTGACAGGAACTATATTTGTGATCCCTCTCTAAAGTGCTTTGCTCTATTTAAGACCACCAAACCCCACCTATATAAAACACAAAACATTACACATTTAAATGTATACATTGCAATACGAATTTGAATTTATGCCTTGTCCAAGAACGTCAGGACAGGTGCAGAACAATGGGAATATTTTTTTACGGAGAGACAGTTGGTCATGGACAGAGGAAAAAGGAAAGTCTTGAGCCTGGACTTGAACAGCGGGCAGGGAATCGACGGCAGAGGAGGGAATTCTCGTCAATGAGGGCAGTGGAGAGGAATGAGCCCACCTCGTTATCATTACGTAAACATTTATAGCGGTAGCCAAAGACTCTAAATGCATGTTTCTAAATGTGATGGTTTTGGTGTTTGATCATCAGCGACTGGGTTGAGACCACTAACTCACTACACCTGGGAACCCTGCTCCATCATGGACGGCCGCCTGCATTCCCACTGAGGATCTCATCAGTGTTTGCTCAGGGCTCTGACTTGAGCCATGTGGTGGCCACTTTTCATAACCAGGCGTTTTTTTAATATACCCGGGCGGTACGCAATGGCAGTTATTTTACCAAGTAAAATATTTGAGCGAAATGCATTCATAATGATTATACAGTCTGTTCTAGAACGCTGTAGTAGTTGTGTACCAAAGAAAACGTGGGTAGCATCTAGAATCATCCAGCAGCATCCCACCTTGTGTGATGCTACGCCGAGGCAGCCATACGACCACGTATTCCTACTCACGTGACGTAATTCAGTTCACTCAATTGCGTTATATTCAATTTGCGTTACGAAACCATGCGGCGTTATAGGAGAACAGACGATTGTACATCTCTCTCCCATCTCTTTCATAGCGTCCTTCTGAATAGATGCATATTTTCTCTAATGCGTCTTCTAAAACGTATATATATTCTCTCATCTTACTCCACCTGTCTTATTTCATATTGATCGGGAGCTGTCACTCAAGGTGCTTAAAATAGTAAAAAGAAAACGGTGACAAAATAGAATCGTTCAGATGGCAGGGGCGTGCAAGGGTTGAGTATTGAGTGAGCATTATAGAGGGTGCTTCGGGGTCACGAAAGGGTAGTAGGTATGACATTTCTCTCTCTTGTCTAATTATTTTGCTAATCTTAATACTTTTCTAAAGCTGGTCTCTCTTCTATCATCTTAAATATCTCAATTTTTTATTTATTTTGTTGACGTCTACTCCTTTATCTCTACTGGCTATCTGTCTTCACTTATCTCACTGCATTTCTCACACTATTCTCTCAATTCCCAAAAACGTATCGATTCACTTACATGTCTCAAATCAACGTCCTCGGTGAACAGGTGTGTAGGTGTAAAAATGTTAAACAGGTAAACAACACAAAGACGTACGGCCACTGAAACGCTGAAGTTGCACTTACTCTCATAATATGCACTGAACCCTGTGAATACGACGCTGCCGTCAGACGTGAATGTGACGTACAAGTCGCTTCCAGATGAATTCAGAGCTTGGGGCATAGTGAAGCCAGTAAATCTACCCAATTGGGGGTAATCTCTTGAAGGTCCATCGTACACCGTCACATAGTCATAATTTTGCTCAAGTCTGGGAAAGAAACAGGAAAGTTAACATTCGTGTTATTAGGAATAATTATGCTGTATACTGTTTAAAATGTAGGCTTTCGCGACCAATATTATCCATAATAGGTATTTGGGTTAGATCGCGTAAATATAAATGTGTCAGTTTAACACGTAGGCTTTCGCGACCAATATTATTCATAATCAACGTTTTTGGGTTTAGATCGCGTTATTTATAAATGTCGTAACTCTCCACCACCCGACACGGCCGATCAGTAAAAAAGTGTCACGTTCACAAAAGACAAATTAGTTCACTGCATTAGCCCACCGGTGTGTTGAAGCGCGAAACCACAACATTTACAATTTGAGTACGACGTTTCGCTGGTAATTGCATCCAGCATCATCGGGCAATTCGCCAGAATGGTGAGGCTCTACTGTGTCTCCCGTTGTTATATAGAGCAGCAGCAGGGTGACGTCATCATTAACTCATTAACTCATCAGGTGCAAAGATTTGAGGGGGGAGTTATTGTAAATATATACTAGATTAGTAATCAGGCTATTGTTACGATGCGAGTTGTAGATTAGTAATCATTTGGAATGTGTTTTATTGTGATTATGCTACATTAGTAATCAGTTAGTGTTTGTTTCCCTTATAAGGAATTGTAATGTATCTTATTTAATACGCTTCCAGGCCGCACTAAGCCTGTAGCTGTCTGAGCGATTAAAGTTATTTCTGTTTCTCTAAATTTCAATCGATTCTCTAATTAGTCTTTGCCAGTAGTAACTAGTTTTACACAGCACTTCAACGTTATCAAAATCAATTGAGTGTCCCTGTTGGCATGCATGTTCTGCCACTGCCGACAGTTGTGTTTGTGATAATTTAATATTTCTCTGGTGTTCTTTTAGTCTTACACTAACGTTACGCCCTATCTGTCCAATATATCATCTGCCACATACAAAATTAATCCGATAGATTATTAAAACAATAAAAATACCATTTATCTCAGGAGTAACTGACAAATTAGCCCGTGTTTTGCAAAAGCAAAACATTACAGTAAGATTTGGTACAGTACACAAAATTCAACAACTAGTAACGTGCACTAAAGACGAATTACCTAAATTATCAACAGAAGGTGTATATCGGATTAATTGTATATGTGGCAGATGCTATATTGGACAGACAGGGCGTAACGTTAGTGTAAGACTAAAAGAACACCAGAGAAATATTAAATTATCACAAACACAACTGTCGGCAGTGGCAAAACATGAATGCCAACAGGGACACTCAATTGATTTTGACAACGTTGAAGTGCTGTGTAAAACTAGTTACTACTGGCAAAGACTAATTAGAGAATCGATTGAAATTGAGAGAAACAGAAATTACTTTAATCACTCAGACAGCTACAGGCTTAGTGCGGCCTGGAAGCGTATTATTAAATAAGATACATTACAATTCTTTATAAGGGAAACAAACACTAACTGATTACTAATGTAGCATAATCACAATAAAACACATTCCAAATGATTACTAATCTACAACTCGCATCGTAACAATAGCCTGATTACTAATCTAGTATATAATTACAATAACTCCCCCCTCAAATCTTTGCACCTGATGAGTTAATCTATATATATAAAATCGCGAATCTGTCTGTCTGTGTGTGTGTCTGTGTATCGGACCATACGCAGTTTCATTGGACGAAATGTCAGGGATTTGCGAGACACGATTGGTCCGGCGGTTGCCCCTGGCAACGGGTAGCGACGCATTTGCCGCGGGGTGGACGCCATTTTTAATTCCCGTTAAAAATAGGCGCACGCATTAACACGCGACTCTGAGGTAAATTCATCAAAGTTTCACGTCCTCTTCACTCCCCCCCCCACCACAATGTGTGCAATTACTATTATAGGGTCGCTAGATTATTGTAGCGCGGGGGGGGGGGGGGGGGTGGGAACGGCACCCGTACCCAGCCTCAGCCGGGTGGCCAATTTAGGCGAGGCCGGAGGCTCTGCACGGTACTAGGCCTCGACACCCACCACGCGACTCTGAGGTAAATTCATCAAAGTTTCACGTCCTCTTCACTCCCCCGCCACCCCAATGTGTGCAATTACTATTATAGGATCAGTAGATAATAAAATTATAGCGATTAGACGTTATTATTGTAGCGCGGGGGGGGGGGGGGTAACGGCCCCGGTACCCAGCCTCAGCCGGGTGGCCAATTTAGGCGAGGCCGGAGGCTCTGCACGGTACTAGGCCTCGACACCCCACCACACTATAGGCCGTACATATTACTGCACAGCGGCCGAGGAGATCGTGGCTGGGGGGGGGGGGGGGGGGGGGGGGGGGGCAGGGGTAGTAGCCTATCTGTGTATATATGTAAGGTTATTAAGAAATATATTTTTCACCCGGGCAACGCCGGGTACTTATGCTAGTGAGTTAATGATGACGTCACCCTGCTGCTGCTCTATATAAGAACGGAAGACACAGCAGAGCCTCACCATTCTGGCGAATTGCCCGATGAGGAGGGGGGGGGGTTGGTGGTGCGGTGCCTCTGTATCTCTGCTGGTGTCGTGCCAAGTCTCGGCTCCCTGGCTGCCTGGCCAGTGGCAGCCTCGCAGGCCCTCGGGGCCATGGCGACCAAGCGCTCTGGGGTGGTGAGCCAAGGTGAGCGGGCCAGTTTGGCTGCTGCAGAGGCGGAGGATGGTGAGGTGGGACTGCCTGGAGGAGGGAGACCCGCAGAGGAGAGGGACGAGGCGCGAGTGTCTACCTCGAGGCGAGCGGAGGAGGACGCCTGGTGGCAGCGGGCGAGGAAGGGAGAGGAGCCGACGAGGAGTGGAATGGTGTCGGCCAGCCCAGGAGAGGAGGCGGAGGAAGCACCGAGCTCGGCGGGCCTGCAGGCGCAAGGTGCCCAAAGCGACGCTGTCCAGGCAAGTCCTGGTCCTGTGGGGGCAGGGCGGCCCCAGGAGCGCGCAGGGCGGTGGCGTGGAGGATCGGGGGGGAACTTCACCCCGATACACGCCAAGCAGCACAATTGTGTACGGATGTCCTTCAAGGAGGACGTGCCAGAGGAAGTCACTATCGACAGACCGAGGTTCGTGCGGTCTGTGATGATAGAAACTCTGCGAGTGGATCCTGCGGATCTGTTTTGTTTGATTGCCCTGCCGGGTGGCCGGGCTTTTGACGTGAGCTTCAAGACAAGTAACTTGCTGCAACGCTTTATGACTTTGTTCGAGGAGAAGGCGGGGGAGAGGCCACTGTCACTGCTTAAGCTCCAACTGCTCTCCGAGCTAGACACAAAAATTGTCACCGTGCTTTTGTATAATGAGACTCTGCCAGATCACGACGTCGAGGTGTGGCTGAGGCAGCACTGCCTGGTGCTTTCGGACAGCAAACGGGTCCAAGACTCTTTAGGGATCTGGACGGGTGCCAGACAATAGCGAGTGAGGTTGAGAACGGCAGAAGGGGCTCTGCAACACATCCCGAGCGCCCTGAACATTGGTGGCAATAGGGGCTACGTGGTGTACGCGGGGCAGCCGAAGCTCTGCAGGCGATGTGGGGGAAGCGGCCATCTGGCTGCAGCGTGCGAGGCACGGATATGTTTCCGATGCAAGGCACGGGACCATGTTGTGACAGAATGCTGCGCCCCGGCATTGTGCAACCTATGCGGGAATAAAGACCACCTGTACAGGGACTGCCCGCAGTCGTACGCAAACAAGGTCCGCGCACATAGGAGCAGGGTGGCGGATGGAGAAGGGGAGGTGGCCGAGGACGGGCTGAAGCCAATGCAGCCCGGCGGGAAGATGGAGGACGGGGGTGGAGAGGTGGGCAGGCAGGGTACGCCACTGCAGGATGGGAGGGAGGAGGGGGAGATGACGTCGGAGGAAGACGCGGATCCCACGGGCCGGCAGGTGGAGCACCCCGGGGACAAGGACGAGGAGCCCGTGGGAAAACCCCCCGACCCAACAGTGGTTGACTGGGCGGAGGCGGTGGAGGCGGGGGAGGACGGAGAGGAGCAGCAGAGGGAGAGCACCAGGAGGGAGAAATTCAAGAAGGTGGTGAAAAGGAAGCGGAAAGCGCCGCTGGGCCCAGCGAGGATGACCCGCAAACGGGACCTGGAGGCAACAGACTCCTCGATGGACGCGAGGTCGTCGGAAGATGGTGCCGTGGCGGCTAAGGCCAACCAGGAAAGAGGGCTGCCCAAGGAGCCTAGGAGAGCGGAACAGTTGCAGGGATTGGCTGACACAAACCTGTACGAACTATTAGACGACGAGCCTGGGTAGGGAGAGGCAATTCTGGGTATGGACCTCACGGTAGCATCAGTAAACGTGAGGGGAATGTGGGGCAGGGCTAGGAGGGGGGCCATTCTACATTTCCTACGGTCCCTGAAAAAGGACGTTTACTTTTTACAGGAGTGCCACTTGCCATACTCCCTTGGTCGAGAGGATCTGGCTAGGGACTGGGAGGGACACTGCTTCTGGTCCGGAAGCAATGTTAATAGGTGCTCAGGAGTGGTTATCCTCCTAGGTAGAAAGAACATAGAGGTGCAGGAGGCCCGAGAAGTGGTCCCGGGACGACTCCACTATGTCGATGTTGCATATGGTGGGGCGGCGGTCCGGCTGATCAATATGTACGCCCCCACAGGCTCTTCGGAACGTGTGGAGTTGCTAGAGAAGGTGGCAGCCTTGCTGCTAACACGAAGGCACATCGTCATGGGGGGTGATTTTAATTGCCCGCTAACCCTGGTGGACACACTGCCAGTCGCCGAATGTCGAAAGTTGGACCCCTCCTCTAGGAGGCTGGGGGCTTTGGTTGAAGATTTTGATTTGATTGATTCTTACCGGTCATTACACCCAAAGCGACCAGGGTTCACGTGGTCGAGTTGTTTGGGAACCTCACACTTGAGGATTGATTTCCTCTTTGTCTCTGCCAAGGTTAAGGTGAAGAGGGTGGAAAACGAACCTTTCTCTTTTTCTGACCATAAGATGATAGCTGGGGGGCTCAGAATCCCAGATGGGCTGAGGTTGGGAAGG